TTATTGTTTGAGTGACAAATTTCGACAAAATTTGATAAGGAGAAACGCCTTTATTTTACAAAGATTACGGTAAGGCACTAGGGAAATTGTAAACTAAAATGGGGTAGAGTTGGCACTTCTCTATGCTCTCCTAAAACTACTTTAATCAACTTCCGGTGTACATTCAATCAGCCCAAATTTAATATTATTAATTGAGTCTTGTGATTTCTTATTAAATGCTACTAAAATTGTTCTGATTGAAGGATAACGAGCGTTTGTTTACGGTAGTTTTTGCAGAATTCAAGCCCGGAAATCAACCAAGATTGTTTTTTGAGAGAAAACTTTATTTTAGGTTTTGGCTAAAAAAACACAGGAGTGCTACAAGTGCAAGGCGTTCGTTTTTCCGCATCGGATGAAGCCGTTGTGAACAAAACTACACAAAAATGCATTCATAAACTTTACTGTTATAATCGTTTGTGCTTGGGTAAGTGCTGCATTGATAGTTCAATAAATTTCGATCTGCTATTGACAAGTTGAGCACGGGTATTGGAATTGAAGAAGGAGCACGGATATTGGAATGAAGAAGAATACAGTAGCACAAAGTAAAAGCATACTTTAGAACTTTTGTGTGCCTTAAAGCTGAATCCGATAAAGCCTTAATCATAATAAATTGATAGTGAATAAAATAAAAAAAAGATTTCTACAATATCTACAAAAGAATGCACTTTTGCCTACAGTTTTGGCTAAAAAAGCACAAAAGTGCTGCAAGTGCAAGGCGAAAGAGAAATTACGTCAAAAAACTCGATAATCTTGCAGAAGAATAAATGAGGCATACACTCACCTCTCGAGCACTTTCATCCCCTCACTTTAAATACTATATTTTTACATTTTTATCAACTTCTGCCTGCCGAATTCTTCTAACGAATTTTTTTTTGTGATAAACACCAAAAATTTCGTTCGACTAACGGGAATTTTCAATTTTCTTATCGCATTTATTGAGTAAATTGCTCTATTGGTGCGTTCTCTCCATTTTTTTCTATTTTCCCAACTCATTTTTGTGTGTTCTCTGCAAAGAGACTAAAAATAGACATAGAATCCCTTTTTCTTTTTGCTATTTATGGAATTTGGATAGTCTTAATGTGAAATGACAAAGAGCTTTTGTTAGCTAATGAGCTCATTTGTTTTTTCATTTTGCTTTTCGCTATGCCAAATTTTTATGTATTAGGGTTGAGTGGTCGATTCAGTTTTTATTTCTAAATAATTAAAGCACAAATATAATTCGAATTTTCCTCAAATAAAAGTTGTTTATAGTTTCATTTGTGATCTTTCCAAAGCAAATTTGGGTACGTTTTGAAACGAATTTGCGCAAATGTTCGTGTTTTTTTTTCCTGTAAATTCTTTAAATGAACCAAGAACAAAGAATAAAAACGATTGAATAGATCAAGCAAAACATTTGGCTATTGCAACTGCTCTGCAGATAGTCAAATTCAATGTCGATGCATAAAATACCGTAATCAGCCACTAGACGATATTCAGTTCTCCGTTTATCGTAACTCTGTGTACTCTAAAAACCCATTTTTTAAGCTTGACGTGACTTCTGTTGCGTCCATTTTCCCCTTTTTCTTTCTTTTTAGTGAAATTGATTCAGATACGATTTGGAGATCAAATAAAAAAAACTCTCCACTCTTCTTTTCACGTAAAAGTGTTGAAATATTAGTGATAGTGTCAAGTTGCTCCATTTTTGAGCAAAGTTTTCCCTAATAAGGGAAAATTTTGATAAATTAAGCGTTTTCAAGACATCTACCATTAAACCACACCGAGACACGGTCTTGAAGAAATTACAAAGCTCAAAGTAAACAGCGTGTTCGGAAAAAAATGGTCATCGATTTGAATCTGAAAAAATTTCCTCGTTGATTTTTCAAAGCTTATCGTTGTTGCAAAAATGGTTTTACCTCAGGCGTCACACAACAAGATGAAGTTGATTTTTTTGATGATTTTGTGAATGCATCAGCCGGGGAGCTCAAAATCCACGTATACATGAAAAACGCACTTTGAATTCATCTATTTCACCACAAATCTTTCTAGTTTTTGTTTCTAGAAATTTTAACATAATTATTAATGTTTCTGCGTTGAATGATACCAAATACTTGATGGTTGGACGCTCCTAGACACACTCATTCATGATCGACTACGACATATACACTAGACATGAGGAAATTCCAAGCCGAACCTCATTCCACCGTCGTTTTCCTGGCCGATTTTTGGCTGATTGCTAGAAATCGAACATTCCAGCCTGCAGACAAAATTTCAGAGCAATCGGTCAAAAAAACGGCCGAGAAACCCGTCCGGACCCACTCATTCATGATCGACTACGACATACATACAGGGTGTCCGGAAAAAAAGTGGTCATCGGTGTGTAGCTGAAAAAAGGTTTCTCGTTGATTTTTCAAGGCTTATCGTGGTTGCAAAAATGGTTTTGCCTCAGGCGTCACACAACAAGATAAAGTTGATTTTTTTTGGTGATTTTGTGAATGCATCAGCCGGGGAGCTCAAAATTCACGTATACATGAAAAACGCACTTTGAATTCATCTATTTCACCACAAATCTTTCTAGTTTTTGTTTCTATAAATTTGTTTTGATGTTGGGAACTTGAAAAGCAGTCGGTCCTGGGAAAGCAGCAACAAGAGAGTTTTCTCGTTTAAAAATTAACCACATTTTCAAGATTTTTGAAACAGTCAATCCAACAATGCAAAATGAAATTGTGGCTAGAAAATTGAAAGAATAAAAGAAATTTATAGAAACAAAAAGTAGAAAGATTTGTGGTGAAATAGATGAATTCAAAAGTGTTTTTTTCATGTATACGTGGATTTTGAGCTCCACGGCTGATGCATGGTTCACAAAATCATCAAAAAAATCAACTTCATCTTGTTGTGTGACGCCTGAGGCAAAACCATTTTTGCAACCACGATAAGCCTTGAAAAATCAACGAGAAGATTTTTCCAGATTCAAACCGATGACCATTTTTTTCCGGACACCCTGTATATATGTCGTAGCCGATTATGAATGAGTGGGTCCGGACGGGTTCCTCGGCGTTTCTTGACCGATTGCTCTGAAATTTTGTCTGCAGGCTGGAATGTTCAATTTCTAGCAATCGGCCAAGAATCGGCCAGGAAAACGACGGTGGAATTAGGTTCGGCTTGGAATTTCCTAATGTCTAGTGTATATGTCGTAGCCGATTATGAATGAGTGGGTCTAGGAGTGTGAAACCATCAAGTATTTGGTATCATTCAACGCAGAATCATTAATAATTATGTTAAATTTTTTAAATTAGAAATATTGGATAAAAAGAAAAAAAATTATGGGGCTTTAAAGTTTTCTCTTGAACAAACAGTTTTTTGCTCTAATTTTTTTTATTTTTATCAAATCTTGCTAATTTTAAAAATTCAACATAATTATCAATGATTTTGCGTTGAATGATGCTAAATACTTGATGGTTGAACGCTCCTAGACCCACTCATTCATAATCGGCTATGGGGCTCCCGTCGATTTTGAATGAAACGTTGTAGCGCCGGCAATTTTTAACCTAAACTCACAAATTTGGTACCAATCGACGTAGAATTGAATTTGCTACAAGATGATATAATATTGTCCTCATACATTAAAGGGTTGCTCTACTAGAAAGATTTGCCAAAAAATTTCATTCATAATCGGCTACGACATATATTTCTTTCAGCTCTATGCTTAACTTTTTATCCTCTTTTTTTCTCTATTGACACCGAAATAGGTTTCTGTGGAGGAAAGTGGCCGAATCGCCGTTCACCGTTTCCGTTCCCTCAACTTCTTTCCACCATAAAACCTCTAAAACCAGAGCTTTTCCAAATCCGTTTTTTTTCTGGGTGAATTCCTCTGGCTTCTTCTGGTCCTTTTGAACACGGCCGAAAATTTTAAAAGTGCTTAAAAATGGCTCTTATCCAATCTGACCGTAAAGCGGCTAGTTTTAACGGGAAATCTTTCTTTTTTTTGCCTAATATTTTAAAAAATTGATTTTATTTTGCCTTTTTCACATTTTAAAATCAATTAGAGGTGATGATAAAAAAAATGAACGAGTTCCGGAAGTAATCAAACCAAAAATAGATTCTCAAAACAAAAGATCTTTTTAAGAAAAAGTATTTTTAAAGTTATCTGACGCGGAAAGATGTGCTGATCGTTGCATGTAGAGTGTTCAAAAAAAAGCCAGTTCTCCCTAATTTTCCAAAAAATTTCTAGTGGCTCCTGGTGGTCGTTGTGGTGTCAAAGTGAATATTTTGGGCTGGAAAATTTTTGATATTTTTTTACTTTTTCCCGATTTCATGCATGAAATTTCTGAGCCAGCATGGTCACCACCACCATGTGACTTTTGCCATAAAATTAATACTTTCTACTGGCATCTTGGTGCATAATAAACACTATTAGGATAACTACAAATTTTAACCTTTATTTTACGAAGATTACGGTAAGGCGCTAGGGAAATTGTAAACTAAAATGGAGTAGAGTTGGCGCTTCTCTATGCTCTCCTAAAACTACTCTAATCAACTTCCAGCTTCCGGTTTACATTCGATCAGCCCAAATTTAATATCATTAATTGAGTCGTGAGTAGTAATTGAGTCTAATTTCTCATCAAATGCTACTAAAATTGTTCTGATTGAAGGATAACGGACGTTTGCTTACGGTAGTTTTTGCAGATTTCAAGCCGGGAAATCAACCAAGATTGTTTTTGGAGGGAAAACTGTATTTTAGGTTTTGGCTAAAAAAGCACAACAGTGCTACAAGTGCAAGGTGTTCGTTCCATACACTTTATTGATCAGCGTTTTCTTGGAAAAACGAGACACTTCTTTAAAAAAAGGCGAGTTGAAAGTCTCTTATATATGACAGATTATCATATAATGAAGATGAATAAAGTGTTTGGCGAAAAATCTTAAAAAAGTCATATTTTGAACAAAAACTATCTATTGAAAGAGAAAACTTTCAAAAAACAATTTCATCTCTTGGCCCAATTTTCGTACATTTGCGCTTCCTGCAAATCTCGGCTGAGCTGGTCGAGCTGAAACCGATGATATTCTTCATTGGCTATCTCTCTTCTCGACACATAAATCTGCACAATCTCGAAATTCTCATCCATACAGTGGATCTTTTCAGAATTTATTGGATCTTCCGGGTAATCAAGCAAAACCAAATTCTTTCTTTTTTCATCTTTCAACTTGAAAAACAGAAAATCAGATGAGATCTCAGATGAGATAAGATCGGTTGTCAGAAACGTCAACTTGCACGATTTCTGATTCGACAAGAAGGAAATACAAATCATTGAGTGCAATCTCAGATATTGAATTTGCTGCTTACTCGTACAAGTTCTCAATTTGAGTTGTGGATCCAGGGAAGTCTCCGATACATTCGATTCATAAGATGTCTCTGGATTATCTGATGGCCATCTCTTCGTTAACGCACATTTCGGATTACATCGACAAACGGCTCTCGGTGGGACACTTAACTGAAAGATATACCCAGGTACCGGTAGATCTTCACCATGATGTTCCGAATAAAACTCGATTTTGGAAGCTTTCTTCTCATCGTTGAGTTTGTTTACCTTGATAATCGCGTACATACCAATCCGATCTTCCATTCGATTCAACGCCGATATCAGCATCTCAATATCCAGTTCTGCATTTCGAACACAGGTCATTTGATCCAAAACTCTTGCTTGATTATTCTTCTCTTTTGTAACGACAACTATCCCATCTCTTTCTTGAACATCCATTGTCTTTGCATCATCAAGCTCAGCTTTTAAGAAAAGAAATTTCTTTTTGCCGACGGCTCCAATGAGTAACCATTGTTCCTTGAGACTCACTGAGAAGAGACTCTTACAATAAAATCTTTTACAAAATACTTCTTTGTATTTCTGTAGTTTAGCAATAGTATTATGGATGTAATATGAAAGAGACCAAAGATCAAAGTTGAGTTTTTTGCAATAACTGATCAATTTGATGACGTCAAAGTAGATCAATTGAAGTTCCATGGTGTATGTGGCAACCATTTTTTTAGCTATGGCCTCAACATAGACTTCTCGATTCCCAATGTTATTTGGAATTTCCGGTGCTTTGGAACCAAAATAATTTCTAATCGATGTGATTTTCTCGTGATTTAAAAAGAACTGTTCACCGACTTGATTTTCTTGGACTATTGTCTTTTGAGCAATCTCGGCAAAGTGCTCAATTTCTTGCTCTCCCAGGTTTTCGAAAAACGTCTTCAATCGTTTGTCGATCTGCGATGCGTAAACCTCGTCGTCAATAATTTTCTTCAATATTGGATAATCGTCAAGTGTCTTGAGTCTTGGAGGTTCTACATGTTGAGTTTTCACATTAGGCTGAATCGATTCGATGTTCATATGCGCATCAGGTGCTGAGAGATTCCATGAAGAGTTTTCTTTCACAATTAAAGTCCCAACGAGAACTTCTTCAGGCACTGTTTCGGGAAAATTGAATCCGATTGGTCTGATCAGTTTATCCGGTCCATTGGGATTTGGCATTAAAGGGTAGGTCGCGAAGATCTGATCCATCAAATCACAACGTTGTAAAGCTGTTGAAGCATCGATGGTACGTTCATTCGGATTGTACTTCAGGCATCTAAAGGAGAAGCTGACATAGATACAACAAAGAACTCAACTTTGCAATAACATCGTGCAAATCTTCTGGACACTTGAGTTCTTCCAAGGTCCGAGCAAGCAACTTCTCAAAATCCTCAGGAGCGCATTTGAGGGGAACTTCTCTAAAGATTTTTATTCGTGTGTTTTGACATGTTTCTACCGAACCTCCTTTCGATGATTTCCCATAAAATGAGTCCAACTCCCCAAATATCCGACTTCGATGTAGGCTGAAAAATTGCTATCCTGGGAAATTGATTATCAACTACTTTATGATTTTCGAATTCGAATCGCACTTCGGGACTCATGAAACGAGGGGTCCCGCCACCGTAAGCCGCCTCACTCTCCGACTGTACCATTCCAAGATCGCCGAGTTTCAAGGTGAAATGGGTGTCCACCAACACGCTGGAATGAATGTACTAGGTTGATGCAAATGAAATTTCGGTTTTTTACAAACATTAAATTCAATCAAAATTCCTTTAGGTAACGATTTATTCGAAACAATAAGCAGCATCGTTATCTACAACCTCCCTTCAACGTTGTTTCAGATTGCGGATCCCCTTATCAAAGAACTCTTGATTCTGTGATTGAAAGTCTGGTTCGTCTTCAAGAGATTCAATACCTTCTCGGAATCCGGGGAAACCAGAGCTGGCAGGATCTTTCGGTCATAACTTGTTCTCCAAAAGCGGAGCAGAGGTCACGATGTGATTCGGCGGCGTTTTTGCCCAAAAAATAGAACCTTTTTTACCGACCGAAACTTCATTTGCGTCAACCTAGTACTGTTGATAGTAATGAGATAAATTTCATCTATGAATAGGATAGATATTGCCAAGAGTTCTAAGAAGTCAGTAACCCAATCCCCCATTTCAATTCAGAGGATTTCGATGACATTAGAAAAAATTTTAGCTAATGATAAGCTACAAACTTCTTTCCTTACTTCTCGGTCTTGATGTCGAGATGAATCATTTTCTGTTCATGGAGGTAGTCGAGAGCCTTAAAGAGATGCACAGCCCAATGGATTACTGTGCGAATCGAATAAGTTGTCGTTCCATCAAGGACCCCTGGAAAATAGTCAGGATATAAGATGCCCTTTTCATCTTCATTTAGCGGAAACTATCAAAATTTGTCTATCTCGACTCACATTTATCCAAAGATCCCCTCTCACAAAGCTCCATTCTGATCCCAAAAATCGGCTCTCGTCCATTCATTTGCTCCTTGATCAACCCATAGAATTGAACGATATTTCCATGACGAAGGGCCGCCAAAGCTTGGGCTTCTTTCTCCATGGCACGAAATATATTTTTTGAATGGTACAACTTGATCACACTCGAGCTGAAAGAAATTCTTTCACGACCATATCGATTTAACTATTTTTTATCGAGTTTCATTGATATTGATAAAGCGATAATGGAAATTGATACTGTCTACTATATCCTAAAAGACTTTTTTTAAACAGAGCTAGAACATTTAAACTCACGGCAAAGCGTTTCTCAAACGATAAACGGTGCCGTTTCCGCCCGCACCAAGCCGATTTTTGTCACATATCGAGGCATAAACGGTTCTTTGGAAGTCCGCCTGGAAGTCCGCATTCATTCTGAAATTCGTTTATTATCAGCTTCTACTATTAAAAAGTTAGGTGGTATCAAAAAAACTTTGGAAATATAATTATTTAATGTTGGATCAGAAAAATCGTGTGTTCGTATATCCTCATCCACCTCTGTATACAGGGTGACAAGAAATAACTGAATATTTTATTTTTCAGCAAATGAAAACCACGTAAACAATAGATTCATAACAACCTTTAAGCTTACAAATAAAACAATTGGCCCTGCACCAGTCCTGAACGGATTTTGCTCGATGAGAGGGCGCGGAGTCGTGTTGGGACGTCCAAACTTGGTTGCCAAAGTGCTGTTGGATCCGGGGAAGAACCACATCTTTGAGAATTTCCTTTCGATAAACATCCTAGTTCATTTTCACGCCGGGATCAATGAAAACCAAGAGGGTTTTGTCTGTTGCGCAAATTCCCGCCCAAACCATGACAGAGTTTGGATTTTGGCGATGTTGAACGATAGAGGAAGCTCCTGGAGATGTCGTAGCCCAAATCCGACCATTTTGCCAACTGTAGCTTTGTTCGACCGAGAATAATATTTCATCGGAAAACAGGATCGGAGGTGCATTGGGAGTTTCGGCCCGCTTGATAAGCTTCCGTCATCTTTCGAGTCGAATTTGATAAGCGCTGCCTGGAACGATATTGATGCCAACTACCTCCGTGCCACCGTCGGCTCAGTGATCCCACGTCTGAAAGCCTGCATCAAAGCCAAGGGATCCAATTTTGAACACGTTATAAATTTTAATTTTTGGTTATTTATCTGTTATTTTTTTCAATAAATATGTTAAAAGCTGAATATTGAAAAAAGATATAATGGTTGGAAGAACGACAATACTTTTCTCGGACCCTGTAGTTACTTCCAAAATTAGGAGAACTTTTAAAGGAAGAGATAAATGACTGTTTGAGTGACAAATTTCGACAAAATTTGATAAGGAGGAACGCCTTTATTTTACGAAGATTACGGTAAGGCACTAGGGAAATTGTAAACTAAAATGGAATAGAGTTGGCATTTTTGTGTAGTTTTGTTCACAACTGCTTTATCCGATGCGGAAAAACGAATGCCTTACACTTGTAGCACTGTTGTGCTTTTTTAGCCGAAATCTAAAATAAAGTTTTCTTTCAAAAAACAATCTTGGTTGAGTCCCGGGCTTGAAATCTGCAAAAACTACCGTAAGCAAACGTCCGTTATCCTTCAATCAGAACAATTTTGTAGCATTTGATGAGAAATCACAAGACTCAATTAATGATATTAAATTTGGGCTGATCGAATGTAAACCGGAAGTTGATTAGAGTAGTTTTAGGAGCGCATGGAACCACTAAAATGTAGTAGAGCCAACTCTTTTTGCAGATTTCAAGATATCCGCATCGGATAAAGTAGCTGTGAACAAAACTACACAAAAATGCATTCATAAACTTTACTGTTATAACCAAGTTGACATAACCGTTGACTTTACTGTTATAACCGTTGTTATAACGGTAACTGCTGTCTTGATAGTTCAATAAATTCGGATCTACTATTGACAAGTTACGGGTATTGGAATTTCATAGCCAAATGAAGAAGAGTACAGTAGCCCAGGTCACAAAGCAAAAGCATACTTTCGAATGCAAAAAGGTTGTCAAGCGCCAGAGTTGATGCAGTATTCCGGGATAAAAGTAAATATTCAGTCGACAAGACTAAATATTTTTGAGATTTGGCATATCAAAAGATATTCAGGCTTGTAAATTGAGACTAAATACTTGTATTCTCCACGATTCTGGTATACAATATACATAGTCTCTGTCACAATGGACTAAAAGCCGGAGGACTAAAAGTATTCAAACGGAAAAATCGAATCTCTTTCAAACCCTTTGACTCAAAAGCTATCCGGTTGAATACTTTCTGTTTAAGCCTACTGTAGTGAGACAATAGACTTTACAGTAATCCTAACAATAAGGTTTATTGTAAAGAACAATAAATTGTAATCGATCAGTGTAATCCTAAAGATTAACTGAAAATTCGAGCAGTTAAACTATGAAAGAAGACTATAAAAACTATGAAGTAAGAAGCTCAAAATTTCTAGTTAGGTAAGCAAAAAAAATTAGCAAACTTTTAACTTCGTCTAATCTACTCTTTTTGTGTACCATTTATCACATTCCGCTGAAAAAATTATTCTAACCCGGGACTCGCTTGCTGATATCGGCTTGGGAAAACGTTATTTGAATTCAGTTTTCCACTAGCCCTTATCTGTTTTGTCGCAACGAAAATCGCTCAGAAATGTGTGTTTTTTGTTGAAAGTTTTTTTTTTTCACAAACAGCATCACACAGGAATTTACCTAAAAATAGCCTTGAATGGCTTTTCAGTGTCTATTTATAGACGCTTTCATGACAAAGAAAAGTTCAGCTTTTGGAGACTTCTCTTTACATAGAACTGAAGTTTAAGTTTTATTTAAACCAAGCAAGATTCCAGCTTGAGACTTTAAAATGATGGCACTTCTGATTGAATATTTTGATTGAATAGAATGTGTTCACATGCCTACAATAGCTTACATGCCTTTCTGCTTTTATACAACATGTCCACTGACTTATACGTGTTAAACTAATGAACTAAGGGGCCTAGAAGTAGATAGAGATTTGGAAGCTTGCTGGAACTTTAACAATCGTATTTGGAACCTGATATGAATCACTTGTGACTGTGGGACGCCCAATCCGCGAACTGAACGCAATTGTTGAGATTTCTTCGTGAAACCACGTAGCGCAACTTTGTTCAAACGTAAAAAATTAGTCGTAACGTATAAATTGAATTAAGGTATGAGCTAAAGCAAGGTTACTGTAATCTGGCATTATTAGTTCTTTCAACTCTTTTCCCATATCACCCAAAGAATCTTTATTTCTTAAGTTTTTCGTTGAGTTATATGAAGTACGGTCTACAAATGTACTTGCAAGAGATTGGAGATTTTCATTGCATTGACCTCGGTACATCAAGAATAAGCTTTTCAACTGTACGCACAACTTTTAACATTCTTTACGATATCATCAAGAACAACCCATATTTATTTCCCTGATTTTAAAGTAATGTAAATCGCCAGACGGCCGCTTGGTTAAGAGTCTAGTCTCCTAATCGGAAGGTCAAAGGTTCAATCCCACTGGCTAGATCATATGTTCTTTTTTTCCCATATATTTGGGTCTTTTCTTCAACATTTAGCGTTAGGCGTGTTGTATTGTATTGGGTTGGTGAATTGAAAACTACCGGACTTTGAACTAAAATTTATTCAACATAAAACCATCAATTCATTCCAAATAGTTTTCATTATTATTGACGACTTCTGCCCATTTTACAGGCAATTTGCGGATTCCTCTTTCGTAGTAGGAATTTGGTTTGTGTGTGAGACAAGTGTGAGACTCAAAAAATCGAGGACTGGAGATGTCAGCTGTCAGCCCAGTTTGAGCACTTTCTTCAAAAGAAACCCATTTTGGTGTCAATAGAAAAGTTGTAGAGAATCAAAAATTAGGGTTATAGCCAAATTTCCAAAAGATACACTTAGTAGTTTCGCTTAAAAAGCAAGTTTTGTGAAAATTCGTAAATTTGGCATTTCTTGATAACCAGTTTTTGAATCGTTCTGAAAATTTGGATATAAGTTTGATTTTTGATTCTCTACAACTTTTCCATTGACACCAAAATGGGTTTCTTTTGAGGAAGTGCTCAAACTGTCACATATGACAATAGCCGGCAGTTTTCAATTCACCAATCCAATATTTTGCAACAATCGAGTCGAATCCGAGAGATTTCACTCTGAAAATCATCGAAAAATGTCGAATCGTTTATTTGATATTGGGCATTTCAGTATCGCTTTGTGAAATCAAGTTGTTGAAAAGTGTTTATTTTCAAAAATTTGTAAATAAAAATAACGTTAAGAGAAAAGAAAGTCGCTGTTTTCGGAAGGTAATCATCCAAAATAATGGAAAACGAAGTGAATAAGGTTAAACGGGCTTTTAGAGAGTTCCAGCCGGTTCCAATTTTTTGAATACAAAAAAAGGAAAATTTAAAATTCAAAAAGCAATACACATATTTATAAGTTGCTTATTTTATTTATATTTATAATTTTATAATTTATTTCCTTACTTGCCAAACGTATACAAAATCTCTTTTCCGCGAGTGACCGTGCGACTGATTTCAACACCGTTCAGATACGTTATCTGAAGTGAGCTTGTCAAAGAAAACAACAACTGATGGCCTTAATTGCATACCTCATAGCGCACTTTGTGCAGCTCGAGTTTGTATCCAGCGTATACAGCAGCCCCAACAGTAACCCACGAAGAGGGAAGAAAGCGATGGAATCCATGAAGTCCATGAGGATGAGGCTGACATTTTGTAAAGGAAACGGAATGTAGATAGATTAAAAAATGTACCTTTGTGATTTATGCATTTTTAAAAGAGATTCCGAAAACTACATACTGTACTGCAGTAAAACAGTTCTTTTTCACTTAATTAGTTCACTTTTGATATCATTCGAAAGGGGAATTCACTCAATACTCTAAAACCCAAATTAAGCGATGCATCAAAACAAACTCTACGATAGTTTTTACGAAAAAGTGTCATTTAGAAAGTGTATTAATCACGATAGCACAGTCTAATGTAGACTATAGACTAGCAAGACAGTCCTAGCTAGACTTTGGGATTGGAACTTTATCCAAGCTCCAGCCTCTTATCTTTGAAATCAGAAATTTTTAGAAAGCCATAAAACTTATTGATGTCAGATCTAAGAAAAGCCGAAATTGAAATGGATATTATCCTAGACCCCTAAGAAAAAGCTATTATACTTTATTGATTGCAGCCGCACCTCATCCTCCATAATCCTTGAATGTTGTTGCGAAGTTGTTCAGTGGAGGCTCCGATCTCTCTATATATCTAAAAACAGTGATTCTTCATCCGTTTTCCCACTTTTACCGCAACTGTGCTTTCTTTGGCTTTGGTCGGGTTCTCGACGACACAGTCGAAACTCGCCGATCCCATTCCGATAGCCTCATTCGTGATGTTGGATGGAGCGGCCCAGGCGACGCTCCTCCTCATTATCACCTCAAAACTAGAAGAATGTTTTAGAATATAGTTTTTTATAGACTCACAGTCTTTTCTGTGAGATCAAAAAACTAGCCGCGAACATTGAGCAAAAGTCTCGATTGTAAAAGTCTACTTAATATCGAAAGACCTCCAAAACACTATTTTTCAAAATAAAATAAAATAGAATTCTTGAGTTTTTTTAGCAAAGGCAGCCTCCGTAAAATGAAAATTCGATATAATCAGAGATTGACCGTCTTGCTCCGACTCAGTGACATCCATCGTTCCTGGATCGAGCCCATCAGTCGATTGGCCTGGATCCAAAGGATTCGTTCTTACACAGTATTAAATCATTTACCAGAAAAAAACTTCTTAAAGAAATGTCCAAAATGAATTCACAAACAGTTGCATTTTGCGGGTAAAAGTTCTCAAAATGATCGGCCCCATTTAATTTGAACGGTATGATGTGGCCAATGTCATCAGAGACAACCTAGCAGAACTTGCTTCATTCGCATTGTTTCAATGTTTTCAATGTTTTATTTTTAAACTTTTTCTTCATATGACGCAATTAATTACAACCAACTGTTCAATTTATTCGATCAGCCCATTGCATCTACAGTGGTTCGAATGTCGTCAGGAACTAAAATAGTCCCAATCGGCACTCTCTCCAAACAGAACTCTCTATAGGCGTGAAAACTCTATATGGTACGGAATGGAATTTTTGGTCCGGCCGACGCTAAGCTATATCGAACGGCACTCCAAGTATAACGAAAGAACTTTTTGGTTCCTTCCGTCCCGTTATAGAAAGAGTCCACTGTATTTTTTGAAAGTTGAAAAAACATAGAAATACTGTAAAACTAATAAAACTTAAAAATGAATTGTAATCTAAAACCTCTAGCTCGTCTACCTGGCGCATTTCAACAGAGTCATCGTCGAGAGGGATCCGGCCGAAAGCCTCAAGAATCCGCCCAGCGAAAGATATCTCGTAGCAAATGCGGCAAATAGCAAGCTTGCCGTTTCGATGAATCTGGGTAAATGCACCAATTGTTAAAACCATTTAAAACAGAATGAGATCTTCATTTTGAGTCTTCTTTGCTATCATTGCTCTTTGTGAGGTGAAATGATTTGATCCAATTCAATAAAAGTGTGATTAAAATCGCCCTCACTTCCCTCACGATCGGCATTTCCGCCCCCATTCGATCCAGGTGACTCACTCATCAAAATTATGTCGGAAAATGTTCCGGAAAAATCACTGAACAATCAAAGTGGGATGGAATGAATACGGTGGATTGAGAGCGCAGAAAAATCGATGTGATTTTGTTGCAAAATAAAAGTGTTGAGTGTGATTTCTTGCGGTAGTTTATTCTTTCAAACGCCTTTAGAACGGCTTTGAACTCTTTTCCGAAAACGGCTAAATCTAGAAAAATACCAGACATATTATTTGATAGAGCGTATTGAAATTATCAGCACTTTTTTCGTTATCCGGAAGTGAAAATATGACTGTCCAAAAAGGTTTGCCGCTTTTTTTTTCCGCTTACAAGCTAATCCCATACACAAGCCCATAAAGCGATGCTAAGATTATCTTGCGATTCGGTGCTATTTAGTAAAGCAAAGTACCATAAACACTGTAGTAGTACCCGACCCCTCATTTTACAGTGTCGCAAAAGTTTTTAGTATTTCATTTTTTTCAAAGCGCCCACATTCTTTCAAAAAATATTTCAATCTTTGAGTATCAAAAAAATAGCCCTAAATTTCAGCTATTTTTTTGATACCTAATTTTTTATGACTAGCATAAAACCAGTGTCGAGAAAAACTCGTTCAAAGCTAGACCACGCAACACTCCACACCGTCATTATGGGGGTGGGTACTTTTGTTGTTACAGTACATATTCGAAATTCTGCGTTAACAGCACTCCATTCCGGTGGGCTGGAAGCCAACACGCAAATGTCGCCGCTGCGTAGTCAAATTTATACATCACGCCACATTTAATCATTAGATATTCCGAAATGCATGACCTTTGAGAACCAAGGAGGAAAAAATAGATGACACTTTTTAAAAGCAATCTCTATCGTAAACATTTTAATAGAAGAGCTCTTTTATTTTGCTCGAAAATTCCTTTTCGCGCCCCCCGTACAGTCGACGCTCCAGTAGTAAATCATTAAACGGATTCTCCAAAAATGATTCCTTATCGAGCGTCGATATATATCCGGAATAATTATTCTTGTTGGGTTTTCATCCGGTTTTTACGTCATTAAGCTTTTTTTTTAGCCTACAACTATCATTTGAGGAATTGAAAATCCTTTAGAAAGTTCAAAAGATTGTCATCCAGAGAGTTGATAGGAACCGAAGAAAAAAGTAAATTTTTTATCTAAAATTATCTTCGATTAGAATGTTTCCGATATGTACAGTTTGTTTTTTTGTGCCTTAAAACTGAATCAATAAACCTTAATCCCCATGAATTGATACTTAATAAAATAAAAAAATTACGAAAAGAGAAATTACGTCTGTGACTCGATAATGTTGCAGAAGAATAAATGAGGCATACACTCACGTCTCCGAGCACTTTCATCTCCTCACTTTAAATACTGTATTTTTTACATTTTTATCAACTTCTGCCTGCTGAAATTCTTCTAACTAATTTTTTTTGTGATAAACACCAAAAATTTCGTTCGAATAACGAGAATGTTCAGCTTTCTTATCGCATTTAGTGAGTAATTTGCTCTATTTGTGCTTTCTCTCCGTTTTTTTTCTATTTTTCCAACTCATTTTATTGTGTTCTATTAAAGAAGCTAAAATGAACACCACTAGAATCCCTTTTTTTTTTGCTATTTATGGAATTTCGATGTAGTCTCAATGTGAAATGACAAAGAGCTTTTTTGCTTTGTTAGCTGATGAGCTCATTTGCTTTTCATTTGATTTCATTTGCTTTCACTTTTTGCTATGCCAAATTTTTTATGTATTAGAGTTGAGTGCTCGATTCGGTTTTGTTTTCTAAATAATTAAAGCACGAATGTAAATTTCAGATTTTCTCAAATGAAAGTTGTTTATAATTTAATTTGTGATCTTTTCAAAGCAAATTTGGGTACTTTTTGAAGAATTTACACAAATGTTCGTGTTTTGCAAATTCCGCACGACTGTAAATTCTTTAAATAGACCAAGATAAAAACGATTGAATGAATCAAGCAAAGCATTTAGCTAATAATGTGTGAATTACCACTGCTCTGCAGATAGTCAAATTCAATGTCGATGGATAAATACCGTAATCAGCCACTAGACGATATTCAGTTCTCCGGTTTTTGTAGCTCTGTGTACTCTAAAAACCCATTTTCCAAGCTTGACGTGAATTCTGTTGCGTCCCTTTTTCCATTTTTCTTCCTTTTAGTGAAATTGATTCAGATATGATTTGAAGATTAAAGAGAAAAGCTCTCCACTCTTCTTTTTCACGTAAAAGTGTTGAAATATTTGTAATAGTGTCAAGTTGCTCCATTTTGAACCCAAATTTTCCCTAATAAGGAAAAATTTTGATAAATTGAGCGTTTCAAGACATCTGCACCATTGAACCGGACACGGCCTCGAAGAAATTACAAAGCTCAAAGTATACAGGGTGTCCGGAAAAAAATGGTCATCGTTGCGAATCTGGAGAAATTTTCTCGTTGACTTTACAAGGCTTATCGTGGTTGCAAAAATGGTTTTGCCTCAGGCGTCACCAACAAGATGTGAAGTTGATTTTTTTGATGATTTTGTGAACCATGCATCAGCCCGGGAGCTCAATCCACGTATCCATAAAACACTTTTCAATTCCTCGATTTCCCCACAAATCTTTCTCCTTTTTTGTTCTATATAAATTTGGCAAGGATTAAGCTAGAGCCAGGCTTGAAGTAACCATCAGCCGTTCTTTGAATGAATGAATCTTCGTTTCTTGAGATTTTCATTTGCACTAATCCCGGTATATCAAGAATACTTCTCAACTGCACAACTCTAACATTCTTTCCGAAATCATCAAGAAAAACCATGTTTATTTTCCTGATTCTGAAGGAATGCCAAGAAATTCATAAGGTTAATGTCCATGAACTGATGTTGTTATTCTGGATGAATGCGTCAAAGTCGTGTCTTCTTTTAGGCTAACTGACCCGAGCTTAGAGAGTCGAATTTTGAAACAATTCTAACGCTTCGTGTAAAAAAGCACTGAAAATTAATGATTTAAAAGCAATTCATGTAAATCTGACCGAAAAGCTGCAGAGCTTTCTTCCGATGTAAGGCCGACCCCCCCCGTGGGACGATTAGGCTGAAAAATCTTGTTTATAAAGTAAAAGATTTGTTTTACCTGTACAGCTGAGACCAGCAAGAGTAAAATACAGCAAATCCTTTATCTGAGTTTAAACTGTTTTTAAACGTTTCGATAACGAAAAATAGCTATAGAAGAGAGGATATTGACATGTGAATGAAAATTACGGGAAAGGGCCTACAATTGGAAATATAGCAAAAAGTTGTCATGTTTTTTGTGAAGCTAATAGGTAAATACACTTAAGAAATACGGGTTTCAACATTTTCATAAATTTCCAACTTCGATAGGAACCTGATATGGAAATGAATATTTATAAACTATTTCAAGTTGCAAATTCCTCTACAAAATAGTACAAGAAAGCGTGTTTCAATTGATCGAACCATTGTTGAAGAAATTTCGAGGAAGGCAAAATGCGAGTGACCAAAAAAGGAGACATGACGTCGGATCACTTTAGGGACAAGTTTAGTATGGTCGAAATAGAGTTATCTTCCCGAAATTGAAGATCTGAAAGGATCTTATGCAAATAGATTTGTTTCAAAAAAAGTCGAACAAATTTATTTACCGAAATTGGGCTCAGAATGATACGTTGAAACCCTCAAATTATTAAAAAAACCGGCTTTTCACTAAAAAAGAAAAATTATTGTAAAAACAAAGTTTTCCCATGAAATGATCCCAACTCTTAATTATTTTGAATGATATTTGAATGATTTTTGGGAGTGAAGGAGCTCATTTTCCACTATATAGTCAAAACTGAACTCTTGTGACCGGATTTTCAAAAAAGTGTGTCCTTTTTTTGGTCACTCGCATTTCGCCCTCGAAAT